CCCCAACATGGGATGATGAGATACGTACAGTTCACATAGAGACCCCCTAAAGACCCAATCGTTTTATGCGTACTTCCGAGATGAGCGGTATCTTCTTGTGTGAGGATCCCAAGTACATCCTAACATCTTAAATGCGCTTCCCGTGGTAAGCTTCCAATTTCACTTGAAGGAATTTACACATCGGAAAATGGTAATCTCCTCGTAGACGCTGATTCTAGGGGAACCCAGCAGACGCTGGTGACGCAGGTTTTACACATGCCCCAACATGGGATGAATGAGTTGTTGACCAAACAGGCCGCCCGAGACGGTTTTCGACACTAAACGATTAAGCCGTGGCACGAGGTTTTGCACCAAACCTTCATTTCCGATATTTCTCCGCAAGGGAGAAGTTCTTAAAGCAATCTGAGTGAAGAGCTGTCTCAACCAAGAATACGACAGTATTGATCAGGTTGGGCCTGAGCTGGGTCTCCGTGAAGCACTGCTGACTCATGCTCGCTAAGGCTTGCGCAAGAACGGTTGCTGCACATATTCAACACGCATGTTGTCCAGTCCTCTTCCTCCTCCTGAGATTTCGTTTTACCCACCAGGCACCAACATACCTTTGCATTGCCCACACTGAGTTTGCTTGTCCTGCTCAATCAAGCCGCGCAGTCTGGCTCTCTCCCGCTTCCAGAAATCTGCAACATCCTCCCAAGAGCTTGCTGGAGCTTGACAAAGCTTGCCAAAGGACTCCATATCTTTCTTGATTTTGTGTCTCCTTCAGCGAGGGCCCAGACAAGCCTGAGCGGCGGATTCAACACAATTCTTTCTGGGGGTTTACTGTCAGCCCAAGGCCCTCTTGTCTTTCAGGAGAACCTTCAGAACCTTCTTCCATAGCGGCCCGCGCCATCTTCACAGCCGCAACCTCAGCATACTCAATACCTCAGATTCCTGGTTGATGCTAGTTACGTTTATCTGGTCCATCTCATGATGCATCAACTCCGGACAAGGCCACGCAGAACAGGTGTATTGCAGCCTGCTGTCTTCAATCACAAGCAGAGGAATTCTCTCCTAGATCTGAGCTTATCCGCCCTTATCCTTGATCTTAACAAGAACCCCAGCTGTTGCTTGTAAATGACACTGACGAGCAAGCCTGAAGACATTAAAGATAGAAGTACAGAAGGCCGGACAACAATCTGACCAAATTTTACAGATAGACTGATAGACAGACGGACAACCGATCAGGCAACACTGCTGGGAGCAGTTGGAATGGCAGCCTCGTCTGTCGAGTACGCACAAACGCACGGGGAGATTCTCGAAAATCTCACGAAGCAGGTTGTCAATCATTTTCGGACAAGCCATCGTTCTTCACACGCAAGGGCCAACAGAGAAGTCCCCCTCAGTTCTCCAGAGTTGACGGCAACCATAGTCACAAAGATTCGTGAACGCCAGAGATGCCGTTGTCAGCAGCCAAGAGGATGCCATCAACTGCCTACAGAAACCCACAACCCATCGGAGGCTATTCACCCTCAAAGTCGCACGTTGGCAACAGCATCAATTCAATCTTCCAAGCCATGCAGGAGGCCTCTCGGAAGTTCGCGAGATAGCAAAGCACTTAGGCATTTAGGTGTCGTTTCTAGGTCGCTTGGGAGGGGGGTACCCACCTTTTGTAGTGGCTCTCCTTCTACGAACCCACCAAGACCCCCCCCCTTCCTTTGATGTCACCTTTCGGGTTTAGACCTGGAGGACTAGTTGACTGCTAA